TCTTTTCGTAGGTTAGCTTTGTTACATTTGGAGTGGGACAAAAAGAAAACCTTACTGTCAAAGTTGAGCCAAAATGGGCGAATCCGAACAGGGCCCAGTATCCTAGCCCAAGTATAATGATTTGCCACAGAGGCCATTAAGCTGTGTTTTTATTTTGTGGTATAAACTGGGGAAACTTTATAACGCCAATAACACAACAAAGGTCCGAGCGGGTATTTACTTGTGTTTTGAAAGTAACATTTGTATTATTTTCTTAGTATGAAGATGACACGGGGCTAAAATTCACATAGTGGAACTAATATATGGGCTTTTAAAATGGGTAATGTCAAGCCTTTCATCATTATTGGACTTTCATTACAGGCATTTAGCTTTAAAATGATAAAAATATTCCATTGGTTGTACCTACAATTGTAAGGGTATTGGAGTTGAAGCCATAATCTAGCCTACATTTATAAATTAGTATTTGCAATAGCCAATATTATTTTCTGCAAATAAAACAGCTATTATGTGGAATGTTGCTTATGGAAATATGGACTGAGAGCAATAGCTAGTTTTTTTAGTTGTATGTTGAATTCATGAGAAATGAAATAGATGAAGTTGAACCTACCGAGGTTAATTAAGAAAAATCAAGAAGGCTCTTAGTTTCGTTCATTTTGATATTCTGTTTTATTCTTTCTCTTGTATTTTTTTTTATTGTCTGGTGTGTGTATGTATGTGTATGTCTACATACACAACCCGTGAAAGAGGATATGACTATTGTTGATGTTAAGTGATCACACAGTCAATATGTATCCGTGTTTGGATGAGTTTGTTGAGGATCGATGAGGGGGCCGCTTTCTCCCCTGACTTTATATCTGGTTCTTGAGCTAGGTATCTGATAAATCTGCACATATAGAAATTCATAAGAGGATGGGGTTTGATTCTCCCGTTGTACCTCCGACGATCAAGTTAGCTGATGAACTTGAGTGAGGTTAATAAGAACTGTCAGAGTTCTTGTTTGTGTGCAGTATGATTTGCAGAAATTATAGGATTTGGATCAGAATCCAGAATCAGGAACAGATCCAGCCCACGTTGAAATAGTACTGTTGGCTGTCTAAAAATCACTGCAGATAGCTGATCCCATCAAACACTAATGATGGAAGTTACAACCTGACGACTTTCGCATCACCAATCCAACGATGAAAGTTACAATCATACGACTTTCACGTTAATAGATGAATGCTACAATTGGAAGATTTTCACGTAGATCGAGAAATGTTACAATCTGATAACCTTTACGAAAATCGATGAAAGCTCTGATCAACAGCCTTCACAAACAATAGTGAGAGTTACAATCTGACGACTCTCACATTTCAAGAAGCCAAGACGGAGATTATAAGAAGACGATCTTCGCAAACGCTCTAACCAAAGAGACTACAAGTCAATAGTCTCTTCAGTTCAAGACACAAAGCTCACCTTTGCGTCTCAGAATCAAGACGCAAAGCTCACCTTTGCGTCTCAGAAGCTAGACCCACAGCTCAGAACTGCGTCTTAGATTTCAGACGCATAACTCATTTGTGCATTACAAGAATAAAACACAAGAGTCAACCTTGCGTTCCAGACTCAAAACGCATGGCTCACCACTACGTTTTTCAGCCTCAAGTGTTGAACCCAACTCTACATCCTAGGTCTAGAAAAACGCAGAGTTCGTGCCCAAAACGCAATTCTTGCGTTTGAATCGTTCAAACACGAGTTGAATGGTTTCAAAACCGTTTCCCCATGATTTGAGAGGATCACTCCCCCACTTAGGAGCGAATTAAGGGGGCGGTTACACCCCTTAATCCTCTATAAATAGCTAAAAATTTAGCTTAAAATAGAGCTTTTTTAGATCTTCGAATTGGGGGGCTCTTTTTGGATCTGGGAGCACTTTCGGATCTTGGAGAGATCGACATTCACCCTTGGAGACTAGAGGATCTTTTTTAGATCTTGAATTCTGAAAGATCAAAAAGGCAATTTTGGAGAAGAAGATTGACATTCATCCTTCAACAACCGAGAGCATCTTCAATTTCAGCAACATAGAGCTTAGATCTTTGCTTGAAACCGATTTCAATTAAACCAATTAACTCTTTTACAGAGTTTTAAACTCACTCTGAGTTCTTAAACTCATTAAGAGTTATTTTCAAACTTACCATGCAAGTTCTCCTCAACGTCAACCAAGAGGAAGATATCGTGTTCCACGAGGTGAAGCGTTCTGATCGTCAATGGGATACAAGGATCTGAACTCCCATTGACACTAAGAAGAACCCAGGTTAAATAAAGGGAAGGGTCTCCGTCGATCCATTTTATCTTTTGTAATTCGGGAAACCCATTGAGAGGAATTGTAATTTCTTTTTCTAAGCTTGTTAGAGAGAGATTGCAAAGAGAAATTATAATTCATTCTTTTTCTAAATCTGTTAGAGAGAATAATACAAATTCAATTCTTAATTTTGTTCTTTTAATTTTCCCAACAAACAAGTACATGTATTTATACTAAAGTGGTAAGGGCAGATTAATCACTTCGGCCGAGTACTGAGAAGCGGTGGTGAATGTTTTCGTCGAAAGTTGCTTTTATTGTTGAATCCATTAAAACTTCAGTCGCTTACAACGAATTACAATGAAAAATAAGAAAATTATAACTTTCTAGAAAATAACACAAAAATCGTTTATCGATTTCTGCTTTTGTGAGACTTTGCCAGTGCCGGGAGTGTGTTGGCTCGTGGACCACTGATTCACAGATTCTGATCGAATTGTGAAGACTTTGGGTATTCTTCCTTTATTTAGAAGCAAGAATGAAATCAGTGAATATCTTATCAACGTAAGATGAACATTCTTCTCAAGATCAAGTCAAAGCTCAAATCTTAAGGAATCACCAAAAGGCTCAAGTTTTCTGTTCTATCTGCTCTTTGTGCTCGTGTCTGTCAATAACGGTCCTAGGGGGGGTATTTATAGCCCTTAGGAATAATAACTGAAGTCGACTCAATACTATTCATGAGTCGACTCAAGACATGCACACAGCCTGTTTTAAATAGTATATGTCAACTTAAAACATGGTTTAAAAATATCAAATAAATTTAGAAAAATAGAAAACTTTGGAAAAATGATTATAGACATGATAATACACATGTTACAAAAACTGGTTTTCAAAAAGCACCTCCCAAATGTAAAAACTCTTCATTTTTCAAAATAGTCCAAATATGAAAATACAAAACACATGTTTTTGATATTTTAGCTAAATCATGTTTTAAAACTTTACAAAATAATGTTATAGACTTAATAAAAGATGTATACAGTGAATGTTAAGTCTATAAACTAAAAACACAATACTTTTAAAATACAATAGAATATGAAACAAATGAGATATGTATAAATAAAATTCTTATTTCATATCTATAATACCAAAACAACTTATCTACATGTATAAACATTTTTTGGAATTTATTTATAAAAACTTTATTTGTGGATAAAACCAAAATGTGTGTGTGCGTGTGTGTGTGTGTGTATATATATATATATAAATAGAGAGAGAGAGAGAGAGAGAGAGAGAGAGAGAGAGACAGAGAGAGTAAAACTCCTATCCACTTAAGTGGATAGGAGGTCTTGTCCACCAAACTTTTTATCCACTCATCTTGTCTCAAGATTTGTGTGATCAAAAAATGCACAAATCTTAAAAGATTATTCATATCTATCACGGATCCCAATGTAATATCAACGGTTAAAAAAGTTGGTGGATGACTTATTCCTATCCACTTAAGTTGACATAAGCTTTTACCTATATATATATATATATATACACACACACACACACACACACATATATATATAAGATTATTCATATCTATCACGGATCCCAATGTAATATCAACGGTTAAAAAAGTTGGTGGATGACTTATTCCTATCCACTTAAGTTGACATAAGCTTTTACCTATATATATATATATATATATATATATATATATATATATATATATATATATATATA